TGTGCGGCAGGTGAGCGCTTATTATAATCGGATGGGGAGGTGGGAAAAGCAGGGGGGTGGTCTTAAGGAAAAGCCTGGCACATGCTGCCTGCCACCTGGAAAATGGAGAAGGCAGCTCGGGTTGCGGCTCTTCGTTCTACGTTCCCAGATAAAATTGTTTCGATCGGGCTGCGTTGCCATCTTGCAATTGATGCAAAAATCCTTCATATTTGTGCATGTGCTTGTGTGTGTGTGTGTGTGTGTGTGCATCGGGTGCATCGGTGTGCTGGTGCTTGAGTTGAATGTGTTAATAAATTGCCACTTGCGGCTATTTTGCAGCCATGGCAAATTGGCTTTTATGCAATTGGCAATCGCTTGGATGCCACAAAGTATGCAAAGGCCAAAGTCACTTGTCTCCCTCAATTCTCAGCCCGTGCCACTTATTTTGGTTCAAGTGTTTGCCATAAAATTTGATTATGACCTTTGCTAGCTAGCCCCCCAAGCTGTATCCTGTATCCCGAGTCCTCTGAACTGTCTGCCACTTACTCAAACGCAAATTGACGCAGCAATTGGAGCGAAGAGGGCATAAACAGGCTAAGTCGATGCACCCATAGAGATGGCAGCGTGAAAAATGTGGCACAATATTAATCGTATATCTTATGCACTGCCAGGTGCGCAAAACGTACTAAAATATTTGTAATCATTTAGTAGTTTAGTTAAAATAACAATAAACTTAGTTCAAAACTATGTACAGAATTCCGATTCAACACCCATATTTAATTTAATTTAATTTAATTTAATTTGTAGCTATCGTGAGCTAGGCTGTCATCTCCATTTTCTCGGTTGCATGTCAATTGTCGCTTTGACTTTCCTTTCCGCTTTTCCAGCGGCGGGGCGGCTCATTAAAAACGGCAAAAGTTTAAGGCCTACCAAACACTTATCCGCACCCGCCCCCGCCCCCGCGCCACCCCCTCTCGAAGGAAAAGCACACGCACATGGGCATTTTCCTTCGGCTTTTCCGGCGTGCAAGGGAGTGTTGGTTGTTATGAGCTCGCCGGCGCAGTTAACGTATTCATTTTGTCACACCTCGAAATATGAGCAAAGACAAAGGGGAAAGGGGAAACCTTAGGGCGGGGAAAAGCCGGAAAAGCTGCTGCTTGGCCCAAAAGGTGCGTGTCAATAGGCTGATGTGTTTATTTGCCAGCCAGGCAGCGATAATCGATGCGTGTGACAATTAGGGCCTGGCACAAAATCCAAAAAAAAAAGGGAAAATTGCATTTCTGTTTAGGAGGAAAATTCGCAGGGCATATGAGTTTTTCACAGAGATCTTTTCCCCGGAGGAAAGCGCGATGAAGGAGCCTAGGGGCGAAATCGAAGTTTGCGTTGAAAGTGAAATTTAATTTTATGACTCATTATTTTACACACGCACACCTCGCACAAAGGTGTTTTCCTTTTGTTGTGTGTGGGGGTTTTGGGGGGTTTGGGGCCAGAGACACCCACTCACACGCGTAGAAAGCACATAAATATCGTTTGCTCGGATGGGAGGCCGTTAAATGAGCTCCGTGGGACATTTTCCGTTCCGCCTCGATTGTCAACAACCCAGCCAGGAAAACAGGAAAAAAGTGGCCCGAACTCACGTATTTGCCTGCCTGTTTATTTGGCTTATTTATTTCGCCTTAGCTGCCGTCGTTTCATGCACACTTTTACTTTCACTTGCCCCAACAATTGCCTTTGTGTCTCCACGTGCATGGCTGTGCCTCATGCAGGAGCAGGAGCAGGAGCAGGAGCCACCCGCCATCCCGGCTGGTGGTGCTCACCCCTGGACGCGGAATCCGCGGGGAGTCGTGTCTATTTAAATCGAAGCGAAATCAATTTCGGAACTCGCGTTTTATGCACAAGGCAAACATAAAAAGCGCGCATGAAGAGCGCTTAACCTTTCGCCCCCGCTGCAAGCCCCCTTTATCCACTGGGACCCCGCCCCCACTGGCGCCCCACTCAACTGGCAAGTGGTGCGGGTGGAGCGGGTGGTGCGGGTGGAGCGGACCGAAGTGGTTTCAGTAGCTGATGCATTCACATTTGAGCACATTGTTGACAATTGAAATGTTCTGTGTGTGCGCTCGTGTTTGAACGGCTTAACGTTGGCCAGAGGCGTCGTTTCCAGGGATTCGATTAAGCGGAGCACTCGCTCGTCCGTGGTAAGTATTAAAATATGATAATGCGCATTGAGTGGCTCGGCGAATTGGGAAATCGGACAAACCCACAAAGAAAACATATTACAAATAACATAGAAGATGTTGCCCCCCTTTTGGTTGCCGCTGCATCGCCAGGTGATCCACCCGTGCAAATGTGTGACCTTCTGCCTATCGCCACCCCTGCCGGCCAAGAAAAAAGTCGTTCTTTGGAAATGCGGAGTTGCCTGTGCAAAAATAATCGCATTTCCGATTCGCGATTTGTGATTAGCGTGCGATAAACAGTCGCTCGCGTCCTTTGTGCGTTTTCTTTATGTTGCCACCGATTTTGCCGTAAACGGGTATGCCCCAGACGTACCCCCCCACCTGCCACAATGCCCCTGTTTACTGGGGCATAAATATTACACGTTGATTCCAAGTGAATTGGAAACTTTTATTTATTTACCTTGCGCATTCCTACCTCATTCTATTTATGCTGTCGCACTTGGCGCGTTTTGTTCGATTTTTGTTTATGCGGTGATAAAAGTGTTTTGGCCCCTTTCGACCCATTTTGCACACTGCCGGCAACGATGACGACTTGAATTTTCAATTAAAAAAACTTTGCACGAGCAGTTGGCGGAGCTGGGGGACATTTCTGAATAGTTATTCATAAGCACGCTGCCGGGCCATGAATCAATGCTGAAAGTCCAAAGTCCAGAAGGGGTTTTGCAGGCGGAGGGCGTCTGGCCAAGTGACAGTCATTGTAGCAGAAATTATTCTACTGAAATGCTATCAGTGCTCCCCTGAACTTTGGCCCCGCAAGGGTTAGGCTTCCACAGGCGAGCAGTTGTGGGTGCTGCCGTGCGTGATTCTGGAAGAATCTCCAGATTTCAGATATCAGCAAGTATTTAGAACATATCATATCGTTGTGCTTTCTCTATTAGTCTGGATATTTATGTGGCTGTTCTTCAGTTAGCTCAATCGCTAGACTAACTGATAGCAACTAGAACCAACTAGAATCTAGCTAGCTTTTGGGCCACTCACGATTCCATCGCTTGGCGCCTCGAATAGTTCCATGTTGCTGACAGAGGCGGCAACATTATCGCCAGCAACATTATTCATTATCGTTTGCCAGCTGCCCCGCCCTTCCCGCAGGCCCCGCTGCTTTGGCCATTTCAAGTCGGTGACATTGCAACAGATACTTCTGCTCTGCCTCGAGTTTGGCTTCCTGCCACGCCCACCCGCATCGCACGTTGTGCCCAATGAAGCCAGGCCCGCCCACATTTAAGTCGCAGCTCCGGACAAAGTTTTGCGTGCTGTGAAAAAAGAAAAAAGAAAAAATAATAATAAAGGACGAGCAGGACTACAAAACAGTTTGCAGGAAAGTAAGGCCGAGGCACAGACGCATCTCGGTGGGCAGGAAAACTTCCGTTTCGAGTTGTGGCCTGGAAATTGGCAACTGCAATCAAGTGGAAGGATCCAATGGAATACGCTCGTGGGTTCCGAAGTCGGCCAATAAATATGAAATTAATCTGGCTGTGTATTAGCAGAAAATGTGATTAGAGACGGCTGAAAAATGAGTAGTTACTTGGCAGGCGATTTGCAATTTTTAAGTACATTCTATCCCAATAATTACGTATATATTTTGTATTGGCAGTGCTATTTTTCATACCGAAGGTAGATATTAGATAGGTAGCACCAGTGGCGTATCCCTGAAGAGCTGGCAATTATTGCTGCTGTTGACCATGCAGCTGCAACATTTCAAATTTCGTATCCTGCGTGCGGACATATCGCCCCGGTTTTCTCCCATTTTCCCAGACAGATTTTCATAGCTGGCACAGTTTGAGCCTTGAATATTTTGCATTTATGCAAAAGGCAGCAGACAAAAAGAAGATTCTAATGGAGCACAGCTTGCTGTGGACCTAAAGAAACAGAATAGTCGAAGGAGAGGCGCCATCTGCCACGCCCACTGGGCAAAAAGTTGCAAGTTTTGTGCTGCGTGCGGTTTTTGCTGTGACATTTTCGTAGATTTCGCTGTGAGTCTTCGGTGCGAAAATGTGCAGGGTGGGAAATGGGAAAAGTCCGGAGTTGTACTTGAAATACGTTTTAGCGAATTTATCTTGACTGGAAGCAGCCATATACGTTGTTGGCTAAAAGCGAAAGTCTAAACAGTAATATAGCCAGCTTTTTTACCTAAAACCGCAGCAGTATCATTGCCATATTAGTTCTCTGGGTTTTGCATCCGATCCGGCTTTTCCCCAGAAGTCTGCTGGGTTAAGATGTCGACTTGGGAAAACCAGAATAAGAGATTCCCGCGCAGCAATCACTAACTCATGATTAGCTGACTACTGGTCACCAATTATTCTATTCGGAACAGATATCAAACCTGATCTTACAGCCCATGTACTTAGGTAGGGGAATAATAAATCAATATGTATTTATAAATGATTTTCCTCTTTGCGTACTTTGTGTATTCGTTCAAAGTCTTATCATTGTACAGCAAGAGGGGAAGAATAAATCAAAGCAAAAGTATGTAGTTTCAAAGTATTTTGTTAAGATTAAATAATAAAAAAGGCAGTTCAAAGAAATTCTTATTTTCATCTCGCTTTAAAACATATTTTTATTAGGGTTTTTATTTTGCATTTAACCCTCTTATCAAGCGCCTGTATTGCGTATGTTTTCCTTTTTTAAAAATAAACACAAAGAGCATCGACTACTGTGCAAATTCTCTCCCACTTTCCCGGTTTTACGAGCTGATAACTGAAAAATAAGAAATATGCAACGATAACCAGTGAAGTTTTGCTCGTAGGCGAATGTAATTACGAGCTTACAATTGCATTTGCTGAGCGACTGGAAGAGCGACTGGAAGAGCGACTGGAAGGTGGTAACGGGTTTTCCCGCCCAGCCGCATTCAATGAGAATCGATAGCAGCTAATCAACGCAGCCGCGGGAACGGAAAAGCCAAATCCAAAGCCAATCTCCGAGACTCAAAAGCTGCCGAAGGTCGCGGCTCGAGATTGCCGATCGCCAGAGATCAGTAGTTGATTGCCAGCCCCCGGGGACGCAGCTCGAGAATCAATCGGAGCGGAAAATAGGAAAATCGAAAATCTATAGCAAACCTGCCATAGGAAGGAAAGCCTCGCAAAATGCTCCTGCTCCTGCTTGTACCGCTTTTCCTGGCCCTCTTGGGGGCTGAGGCCCAGCAGTTTGGCAGTGAGTTTTCCCGCTAAGCCACCGCATCGCGTAGCTTTCCTCACACATTTTCGCTTCAACACTTTCAGAGGCTATTATGCATTTTGGCAACTGCAACTCGGCGGAGTTCGGCAGGGGTACCTGTATCGAGAAGAAGGACTGCGATTTTTATGCCGTAGATAAGCTGATGGAAATGGCCAGCAAACAGCAGTGTTTCTCCCGCCAGCGACCCAATCTGGTAAGTAGTATATGTTCCATATGTATGTATATATTTGCGCGATGTTCAGCAAACACGTTCCCCACCATCAACCAGTTTGCCACGCTCCGTTGGGATCTTCTTCACCTGAATAATGTTTTTTAATAGCACTAAAGCTATCTAATACTTTATTAGCCCCACGTTTATTCACGTCTTACTGAGAAGGCAGCGGAAAATCGTGTGCCTCGTCACTTAATGAATGCGAATTGGCGACATAAATATTTGCAGTACATGTTTCTGATTAGCCTGCAATCAAACCATACTTTTTGAAATCATATACGAAGTATATAGCAATATTTCATAAAATATATCATATATGAAATACAACAACCAAGTCTACAGTTTAGCTAATGGTTGTTATTTGCCAAAAACATTCCCTATAATCCCAATTGAATCCCCTCAGGTGTGCTGCCCGCGTGAGACGAACATCATACCGCCACTGGCGCCCAGGATCAGTAATGAGACCAGCAATGTGACGACCGCGGCGGTGATCACTCCGCTGAAGTTGCTGGTCCACGCTACGCCACGCCCACCCAGCGGAATCGACCAGCTGCCCCAGCATCCGTACTGCGGCTCCGCCTTCTCGTTCCGCGTGGTCGGCGGCCATAACACCGGACTGTTCGAGTTCCCGTGGACGACGCTGCTGGAGTACGACACAGTGGGCGGTGGCAAGGACTACGCGTGCGGGGCATCCTTCATCGCCCAGAGGTGGCTCATAACGGCGGCCCACTGCGCGCACACGTTTGGCAGGAATCTGAGCGCAGCCATTTTGGGTGAATGGAATCGGGAGACCAATCCGGACTGCGAGAACGATCTGAATGGCGTGCGGGAGTGTGCTCCGCCGCACATCCGGGTGCCCATCGATCGGATACTGCCGCATGCACAGTACTCGGTATCGAACTACAGGAACGACATAGCGCTGCTGCGACTGTCACGACCGGTGAACTGGCTGCAAATGCAGTATCTGGAGCCCGTCTGCCTGCCACCGCAGCGGGGCAGGTTCGCCAATCAGCTGGCCGGCTCAGCCGCCGATGTTTCCGGTTGGGGCAAGACCGAGTCCAGCGGCAGCAGCAAGATCAAGCAAAAGGCGATGCTGCACATCCAGCCGCAGGATCAATGCCAGGAGGCCTTCTACAACGACACCAAGATTATGCTCGACGATAGTCAAATGTGTGCCGGCGGCGAGATCGGCGTGGACTCCTGCAGTGGCGACTCCGGCGGACCACTGACCGTGGAGGCCAACACGGCCAGCGGCAATCGGTATGTGTACCTGGCCGGCGTCGTCTCCATTGGCCGGGAGCGATGTGGCACCGCGTTGTTTTCCGGAGTGTACACACGGGTCAGCAGCTACATGGACTGGATAGAGAGCACCATTCGCGCCAATCGCGTTTGAGTGACCTGCGTTTCCGTTGCGTTTCCGGTTTTTCATTGGGCTCCCCTCCCAAAACTCGAAGTCAAACACATTGTGACCTTCGATGACATTAAAAGCGATTTTTTTTAAATACACACAATATTTATTATATTTTTTACATGCCACTTTTACTATTTCCGTTTCCACCTTAAAAAATCCCACAATGTCCTAAGCTTACCTTAATTGTGCAGACAGTGTAGCTGACGTTTGGCAGCATATGACTTATTGGCCACAGGGGTTTCCCCCAAGAAGGTTTCCCCTCTCTTTTATTTGGCGCGTTGCCGGTCGTCATATCACTGACGTCACTGATTTCCGGCATGCAATTTACTAAACATGTCATCCTATCGCGTACAATCTCGATTCGGGTCTAGATTAAAGTGTTTGCCCATGACACCGAAACGCTTAAAATGACGATGATAGTGGTGAGATGCTCCGATATTCAGCGGAAATACACTGGTGACATATGAAGTGTACTTTCTTTTACAACTGACTATTACTAATTTAAGCTGACTGTGAAGTCTGCTCTTCCAAGTGAATCATGGCATACAAGCGAATTCTGCAGGATATTAGGCAGTCATCTTTGGAATTCCCTTGGAACCTAATTGATTCCCTCTGTAGGTTTTAGTAAATTAAAATACTCCACACTTGTAATATGGGGGCAGATTAATACTTGCATGCTTTTTGCAGCTTATTCAGAGTTATCTCTGGGCAACCTAGTTGTAGTATAAATAACTTTTCTTATGCCTAGGCAAACACTTTGCGCAATTGCGGCGACACCATTGTTTTTATCTTTATCGACATCGGTTTATTACTTATCATCATACTAGCTACAGAATAAATATTGTAATAAATACTTCGGCGGCCACATTGTGACGCAACTACGACTAAAATAAGTTAGCTTACGACTAGGTAAAAAAAAATCTACTACTAAATGGGAGATTTTTCTGGCAAGTGCTCAGGTGCTGCGTCCAAAGATGACGGCTCGACGACACCGATCCCGGTGATCCCTCATTTTTCCGGCGGGACAGGGTTTCGCGATCCTGCGGGACACGAGGAGCTGGCTGGTCAGTGGTCTTGAATGCGGATTGTAGAAGATCAGGCGGCGGGCTTCCGTGATCGGGGGCCTCTGGGCCAAGATCATGGCCAGAATCACGAAGGTGAGGACGAGCAGACGTTGGACTTGCATTTGAAATAGATGTTCGCTTGTGGCTTGTGATTATAAAATGTATGCTGGTTACTTGTTCACGTTCTATGAATTCTAGTTCAAGTTAGTTGGTAGTTTTCGTCGCGATTTTATAGGTTTCATGGGTGTTCGTTCCGCTTGGGAGTCGCTTTTATGACTGCCGTTGCTCTCCGAACTTGTGCCTGTCGATATTCAACGCCGATAGCCAAAGACGGCGACCGCCGGCCCGCACATCGATAAGATAAGCCCCAAAGGTATTCCGCTGGCACGCGATAAGATATTGGCCCTGTAGCCGAAACCCTCGGGCCCATAATCATACACATACCTACCTATTGTCTGCGGTCTGCGGTTCTTTCGGGTTGCCCCTGGCACTGGTACTCCAACCCCATTGGCTGCTATTTCCGATCCTCGCCATGACGAAAACGCAGGGGAATTTACGAGTGCTCCGCCGGTCGATGTAGTAAAATTCCACCGTCATGCGTCGGCGCCCCCAAAGCCCCCCAAAGGCCCCACAACCCCCACAGCAATGGGGAGTTTTTGTGCCTGGACACTGCGTCATCGGGTGGATCACTGACCACCGCTTCTATCGATGACGCCCCATCCGGTGTGATCTATGGCGGAGGTACGTCCATGGTTCAGCCTGAAATTATGCAGTGCCGTCTGGTGTCTTCGTTCGAGAACGATGTAGAAATCACAGTTCGAGGCGAAAGGCCTTGTAGGTATTCTTTACAGGCCAGTAAAGTAAAAGATAATTAAGACCACATTAAAATGGCAGATACAGAATTGTATATTATAATGGACTGTGGTCTCTAAGTTTGTTTTAGCCACAGAGTCTAGGAAGGAATGATAGGTATGCTTAAAGCATTATTGGGAAAGGATCTCGATTTACCCATTGCAAATCAATTTGAAACGGTAACCTTTCAGTGTTGGCTAAGTGCAAAATATTTGTGGGCCAGTTGTGAAATCGGTAATTCATTCAGTAATTAACTCCTCACCAGCTGACATGTCGATAAGGCGCTTGATGAATCCGAATCGAAGCCGAGTCACCTGCGACATCTGATACCTGATTAGATGCCAGCCCATCCCCCAACTGACGTAGCGGTACATACATAGTTTGGCGGCCCTTGGCTACCGATCTACTCATACTATGTATGTATGTAACTACGTACATAACTAGGCGTACTACCTGCGTATATGAAAACATTTTTCGATCTTGACGAGCCTTTTGTCACATTCGAGTGATCGATAGACGGCCGACGTCTCTGACGCATGAAAAAGTACGTTTATTCGCATTAAATGGACGGGGGTATTAGGAGAATCGATGAGGGCTATTTTTGCTAATGAGGTTGATCTAGGAAGCAACAACAGCATACAAGTAAAAGGAACTCATTTCGAGTGATATGTGTTAATGAGTAACATCGTAACTTAGCTAAAAACCATCACAAGGCTTAATGCATAACTCTTCAACTCTGCAATTCATGTTTGGGTAAATTTTTGCATTTTTTGTAATATCAAATATATATAAAAATGTGCAAAAAATGCCAAAAAATTAGCATTCCCCTTTTTGAACACAGTTCGATTAGAAATTTAATTACGAGCGCATCGACGTATAACATTCCATATTCAGACAATTATTTCAAAAGTTATGGCAAAAAAACGGATTATTTTATGACCGAAATTCGAAAAAACTGATTTTGGCAAAAATAGAAATATTTTAAATGGGCATTTTAATCATAACTTGGCCAAAAATGATCGTAAAGATGAAAGAATAACTGTTTTGAGCAGCTAATTACCAAATCTAACGACCACTGTCACTTTTTGGCGGATTTTGGAAAATTAATTTTTCGGCCAATTTTTGCATTTTTTGTAAGGGGTAACATCGTCAAAATTTGCAAAAAAAGTCAAAAAATTAGCATTTCCATTTTTGAACACAGTTCGATTAAAAATTTAATTACGAGCACATCGACGTATAACATTCCATATTCAGACAATTCTTTCAAAAGTTATGGCAAAAAAACTGATTATTTTATGACCGAAATTCGAAAAAACGGATTTTGGCAAAAATGGAAATATATTACATGGGCATTTTAATCATAACTTGGCCAAAAATGGTCGTAAAGATGAAAGAATAACTGTTTTGAGCAGCTAATTACCAAATCTAACGACCACTGTCACTTTTTGGCGGATTTTGGAAAATTAATTTTTCGATCAATTTTCACATTTTTTGTAAGGGGTAACATCGTCAAAATTTGCAAAAAGTGGCAAAAAATTTGCATTCCCATTTTTGAACACAGTTCGATTGGAAATTTAATTACGAGTTCAACGATGTATAACAATCCATATTTAGACAATTATTTTTGAAGTTATGGCAAAAAAACGGATTATTTTATGACCGAAATTCGAAAAAACTGATTTTGGCAAAAATTGAAATATTTTAAATGGGCATTTTAATCATAACTTGGCCAAAAATGGTCGTAAAGATGAAAGAATAACTGTTTTGAGCAGCTAATTACCAAATCTAACGACCACTGTCACTTTTTGGCGGATTTTGGAAAATTAATTTTTCGGTCAATTTTTGCATTTTTTGTAAGGGGTAACATCGTCAAAATTTGCAAAAAATGGCAAAAAATTTGCATTCCCATTTTTGAACACAGTTCGATTGGAAATTTAATTACGAGTTCAACGATGTATAACAATCCATATTTAGACAATTATTTTTGAAGTTATGGCAAAAAAACTGATTATTTTATGACCGAAATTCGAAAAAACGGATTTTGGCAAAAATTGAAATATTTTAAATGGGCATTTTAATCATAACTTGGCCAAAAATGATCGTAAAGATGAAAGAATAACTGTTTTGAGCAGCTAATTACCAAATCTAACGACCACTGTCACTTTTTGGCGGATTTTGGAAAATTAATTTTTCGGTCAATTTTTGCATTTTTTGTAAGGGGTAACATCGTCAAAATTTGCAAAAAAAGTCAAAAAATTAGCATTTCCATTTTTGAACACAGTTCGATTAAAAATTTAATTACGAGCACATCGACGTATAACATTCCATATTCAGACAATTCTTTCAAAAGTTATGGCAAAAAAACTGATTATTTTATGACCGAAATTCGAAAAAACGGATTTTGGCAAAAATGGAAATATATTACATGGGCATTTTAATCATAACTTGGCCAAAAATGGTCGTAAAGATGAAAGAATAACTGTTTTGAGCAGCTAATTACCAAATCTAACGACCACTGTCACTTTTTGGCGGATTTTGGAAAATTAATTTTTCGATCAATTTTCACATTTTTTGTAAGGGGTAACATCGTCAAAATTTGCAAAAAGTGGCAAAAAATTTGCATTCCCATTTTTGAACACAGTTCGATTGGAAATTTAATTACGAGTTCAACGATGTATAACAATCCATATTTAGACAATTATTTTTGAAGTTATGGCAAAAAAACGGATTATTTTATGACCGAAATTCGAAAAAACTGATTTTGGCAAAAATTGAAATATTTTAAATGGGCATTTTAATCATAACTTGGCCAAAAATGATCGTAAAGATGAAAGAATAACTGTTTTGAGCAGCTAATTACCAAATCTAACCATCCCTGTCACTTTTTGACGGATTTAAAAAAATTAATTTTTCGGTCAATTTTTGCATTTTTTGTAAGGGGTAACATCGTCAAAATGTGCAAAAAAAGTCAAAAAATTAGCATTTCCATTTTTGAACACAGTTCGATTAGAAATATAATTACGAGCACATCGACGTATAACATTCCATATTCAGACAATTATTTCAAAAGTTATGGCAAAAAAACTGATTATTTTATGACCGAAACCTTGGCAATCGTTTTTGGCCTTTTGACCGATTTTGGGAAATTAATTTTTGGGCCAATTTTCTATTTGGTTGTAACATCCTCAACGTTTGCAAGGAAGTAAATTGTATCTGTTAAGTTTAGAGTATTAAAATTAGATAATATCGCCCTTATTATTTTCCCACAGTGTGGGAAAAAGAATCATAGGCAACCACTTATTGCAGGTGAGAACGATTAAAGCCCGATAATTAGCTAACGAAGGCGTTTGCGTCAAGTCGGCATTATCAAATATTTCCGATTCCACTCGAGGCGCTGATATCATATATAGCCATTATAGGAGTCCCCAGCGTAATGCACATTTAAATGATAAGAAACCAAATGATTACGCAAACCGCATGTTCTTGGAATGCAACCGAAATATGCACACAACCTTGTTGACTGACAATCAATTGAAAGTGCATTCCGCAATTCACACTGCCAAACACATGAAAAAAATAAATAAACACTCTTACTAAGCGGTGCATTTTGTTTTATTATTAAAATGTTTAGCGTGCGAGGCAGATAAATAGGATAAATAAATAGGGTTTGTTGAGAGAGTGCGAGATTCGTTTGATGATTGGATTCACTTCGGATTACTTCAGCAGCGCACGCCATCTGCAAAACACACAGAACACACAGCACTTATTAGTATTTTACTCTTAAACGTGACTAGGCGTTTACGGTGCGTATACGTAATGTGTATGCGCGATATCAGTCAATATGCTACACCCACCTGCATTGTAAGCTATGATGCGCCGGCAATTGCCACGATGATCCAGCATGTGGCACTTGGGGCAGGACTTCTCCATGCCATGGGTTGCCAGGATCTGGCCGCGATGGATGCCATTCGGCTTCAGGAAGATCACTCGGCGGGATTCACTGGGAGTTGGGGCACAAAACACGACCACGGCCCAAAGGCACAGTGAGTACAGAAGCAGCTGGTGCATTGACATCCTTCTCGTCAAATTTTAATTATATGTATATATGTTTGTAAACGTAACTCGAAGGGCGCGAGAGACCAAAGTTGGGCTAACCAAGTGGCTTGCTCCAGTGCCGGCAGTTAACTGATTTTATACAAGCTTCGGGTAGCACTTCTTAAGTGCTCTGCCCGCTTGTCTTTTCATTGAGTTGATAAACTGGCAACAGGGTGGTGGTTATACGCCAGCCTGTTTTTCGCAGGGGTACCAGGGGAAAATCTTATCTGGGCCTCCATGCCATTGCAATCTGTGTAATTGAGTGCTTCGCTGGCCCAGCACCGATTTTAATTCCCACCCCATGCGAAGTCGAGCGGTTGCCTAGGAGCGGGTTGAGTATCGGTATGCAAAGATACCCTTTTCGAGTCGAAATCTCGGGCGCTTTCGGGGATTTGTTGGGGTTCTCTGCGGAAGATAGGAGAGGGGATTTTTCGCCACTCTTCTCAGAACTTTATATGATGTACCCGAACCATCATAACCATTAGATGGTAAAACTATAAATGCCAGGTGTTTAAACTGAACTAAAGGCACTCAAAAAACAAAAGGCCATTAAAAATACAGAAAATATACGAAGTAAAGCTCCCAGAAGAAAGCGTTTATTTCAGTGCCAGCTAAAGTATTTTCCGTAATAACAAATTTACAACCCACTATATTTTGATATGTAAATATAATATTTAACAGCAACTGTCTTATCTGAATAAATAAGAGCCCCGTCTTCTGCCGAGATTAGCACGGAGTGAAACCTATCACGAAAAGATTGGGCAGCAAACGCCATTGGCATAGATAACCCTTATTTTTAGAGCTGAGTAAGAACATGGGTTAATTGGCTTGTGCTCCCCGTATTTTCGATGAGTTTCCCAAGCGAACTATCTATCTGATTCGACATAGATAGAGCGTTTGAACTTTGACAAAGAAATCCGTGGTGTTAATTTAGCTTCGTAACCATCGCCGCGAAGTGAGCCATGCGAAATTCCGTGTAAATGCTATTTTGGCCAATCATCGGGGCTTTCTGGAAGAGTGGTGTGGGTGATGGGTCTTTTTTGACCACGCGACAACCCATTGAGTAGTTAACGGCAATTACGGAACGAGGGACGTCACAGATCCAACATATTTGCCCTCCTTATCGCACCGCACACCCGCTGAAATTTCCCGAAAATGTGACCGAATAATGGTCTTTCCAGAGCAACTGACTGGTATTATTATAGCGCTGAGTCAGAAAAGTTCCTCGACTCATCGTTATCTCATTGACGCCGGAGTTGTCGGGCCTAGAACTCTGTGAATAGTATCTTGTACATTGTATCTTGTGTTCTGTATCTGCGTTGTATCTGCAGGAACCCATGGAGCACAGTATTTCATCATACTTTTCGTGATCGGCGGCACGTGATGTGACGTAGCTTCGATTTCATGACGGCGCGAAAGGGTTAATGTCCATTAGGATCGCGCCATCTGGGGTTAAGGCGTCTACATGTGATACGTACTTATGCAATGGCCCAAAATAGTTTCAGCAAACGGCCTTAGATCGTTTCTTTCTAGAACAATTAATTTTCTTTTAGAATATTTTGTATCTTCAGATTTATATTTAAAGTAAAGGAATAAATATGGACCTAATGGTTACTTGGCGTATTATTCGTACATTTTAGAAAATAGCTTTACTAATATGAATAAGAATCGTATCTTGAAATGCTGTTGCCAAGCAGAAACAAGTAATATTCGCTTAAATTGCTGTTATCTGCCTATCGTTTTTACAAGATCGGTAGACAGTCTTAATCTCTGGCGGCGAACAGACTTCAAAATAAGCACGCATTTCAATTTAACTTTGCTTAGTGGGGCAGTCCAATTTTAGACACGCTAAGTGGGTAAACAAGTTAAAATTAGCAAAATAAACATAATTTAGATTGGCAGAGCACTCACCCTTCTGCAACGCCCATGATGATCGCGAACGAACCCACGTTGGCAGCGATTTCCCCGCACATCGAGGAGCATTCCCTTGCCCAGTTCATCGGTGCTATTTTTGGCCGCCTCCTGGGCCTGCGTAGTATTCAGCGGATTGAAATATATCACCCTGCCGGATTCAATGCACACGGAGCCGAGCAACAGAACCAGGAGCAGCAGTCCCACAGTCGGCAGTACAGATCGCATCGCGTTCCAAGGGTTTCAGTAGCACTGTTTTCACTTGCTTGGAAATGCGCCGACGATCAGCTTATCACTTGCTGATTAGCTTGTTTACTGGGAGCCACGAGTGGCTAAGTGTCGTACTGGACACTCCGGAATCTCGCATACAAATCATATCGGGCTGCTGGCGATCAGAAATACAGCATACTTTTGGGCTGCTCGGCTATTTGCGAATTCGGCGCTGTGCTATGAATTGTTTTGAATTGATCAAACATACAAAATATAATAATTTCACGTTTTTCAAACAGTTTCATTAAAGTTTATTTATACATATCTAAAGACCGCAAGGGCTGACAGACCTTTTGGCAGCCCATTTTTAAGAATGTTCAACAATTTAATGGCACAAATGTCAAAGTGTGACAATGTAAAAGCTTTTCGTAAATATTTTTGATAAAAATATTTGTTGGCACCGAAAAACCCACTTAACAGTGTCCCCATTATGTGCTTACCTTAATTAATGTGGTGGTGGCAAGGTGTAACTAAAAACTACTGCTGTGGCTGAGTTTAAGGTATTGTTTTATTGGTTTCATTGGTTTTACTTTCATATGTTTAATCGTCTTACATCACATGGAGGAACTCTAGTTTTGTCTGTTCATTCTGCACTTCCTGCCTGCACTTCCCGGCATCCTGTGCACTTTTCCATACCCAATCCCATCGTCTTGGGATTCGTCTTGGCTTCCTATCTTTTGGGGGCTCTTGTAGCTTCTCTTCTATCGCGCGGTGGCGCCCGGCGCTGCTCGATATACACAATTGTCGGGATCCACGGTGATGAGCTCTATGAATGCAGGATGGATATATTTATATTTTGCATTCAATTATTATTATACCACCATGTGGTATATACATGAATCAAACCTACCCTGAGCCGCATCCTTGCCGCAGCTGCGTTGGCTTGTGTTCCTGGGCCTGCCCCTGGACCTCCGTGTCTCCAGCGCCGCAGGCCGCGCCTCCTCCTCCGAGGTGGAGAGTGTCCTTTGCTGCGCTCTCCTGCGAGTCGTGGCCTGCACGAGCTCCTGCTCCTGCTCCTGCTGCTGCTGCTGCTCCTGCAGCTGCTCCTGCAGCATATTCTCATTGGAGGAGTGCTTCGGCGGACGACGGCGCCGATGCCGCATCCTCTGGGAACTGAAGCTCTCCTCGCGAATCACCAGGGTACCCGCCTTGCTGGTTCGCAGGTAGTAACGCGGCGCCTTGACCACATCCTCCTCCTGGGCGAACTCTGGCGATGAGTGGCGGCCCTTCGAGAGACTGAATCTCTCCAGGATGGAGCTCTGCGAGCGGCGGTAGCGTCGCTTCTCCCTCGGGCCCGAGCTGGACGAGTTCAGGGTGGATGTGGAGGGGGGTGTGGGGTAAGCGGGCAGGTCCTCCGTCTCCTGGAAGCGAACTCCACGCAGCGAACTGGAGCGACGCGAACTCACCGATGGCTCCCAGTTGGGCAGTTCGTGGGTGCTGAAGTCAATGCAGCTGCCATGCGTTTTCCGCCGCCCACTTTCCCGACTCGAACTGGGCGTGGCCTCGCTGGGCGCTACGGTGGGCGTGGGCGTGGGCGTGGCCTCTGCTATCCGAAGGCTATGGAAGTTGCGCTCCAAATTAGCGGTGGCCGAACGCTTGCGACGCCTCTGCGAATCCCTGGATGTGTAGATCTCCTCCCTCTGGCCATCGGCATCCACCAGCAGATTGCCCGTGTGATCGTATAACAAGATCCTGGGCAGAGCAATATTGCTGCAGCTGCGGGAGGTGCTCAGCTCCCAGTTCCAGTGGGGGGGCTTCTTCAGCTTCAGGCTGAGCAAATTGGCCAGCGGATCATCCTCCGCCTGATCCGCCTGCTCCGCCTCCTCTTCCTGCAAAGCCTCGTCATCTTCTGCCGCCTCTTGGGACATGGCGGCTCATCAGCTGTGGCTCCTTGCCCAATGTTCTAATGTGGATTTTAAGATCAGGGTTTGCTCTATGCGCTTTGATCTTTTTGGGTCTTCGTTTCCTTCCACCTGTTGGTTGTCCGTCCGTTGTTCTCTTGTTTGATCTGCCTTTTTCTGCTGCTGCTTCTTCTTCATTCACGGCTGATCTTCTGCTTCTTCTTGCTTTGTTGGCCTTTGGCCAATTTATTGTTTATCTCAACTATGTCTGTATAGGCGGCACTCGCTAAAGGGGCATTGCTTTAATTTCATTAGCTTTCCTTAATATTCAGATGCAACCTTGTTTTACTTTTCTGTGTTTGTCTTGGAACTTGTTTTAAACGATGTTTCTTTGTTTTTTATTTACAATTTATTTGCTTGTCGCATGTGCACTGTAGCCTGGCTGCACTGTACTTTGTATGCTGCCCACGCTTCGAATTATTTTTGTCTTCTTTTTGTCAGTACTCTCTCTCTTTTATGTTCTGCTATTTATAGTTGATCCGCTCCCAAAGGCGTTCCCGAACGCTTTCCCAATTTTCCGTAACTTTCCCCCTCACCCCGCGCGCAGTGGTGACACTAGGTGGGACACACTGTGCCACTTTTAGGGCCGCAACGGGGGAAAATCGAAAAAAAAATGTTCCAAGAACACAGCACACCAAAACTGAGTTTTATGGGCTGGCAAACAAAAACAGAGTGGGGAAAACAGAGCGATATTTTCCACAGTCAGTTATGTATATACGTGTGTATATGGCAATGCTGTCTCTCTCGCTCACACCTTGGGGCTCCCCGGCTCCCAAGCTCGCCGTCTCGCTCCGACTCGCGTCTGCCGTCCCGCTCTTTTCTATGACCGGCGATCAGCTGCGATCGCGTTGAGTTCCGCCCGCCAACGTGCCTCGTAGCCAACTGTTCGTCTTGGCCGCATCTAGTGGGCCGAAAAAGCCGCCCTGCCCCGCCCACACCACACCCCCCTTGCCCCCTTCCGCAGCGGGGAAAACGCACACCCCCACCCCCTGGGAAGATCCACTGGCAATTTGCATATTTCACGCTCTCACAACGAAAGCATTTGGCGAAAAGATCAGCCAGGGAAATACCAATGTGAATACCCTAGCATATCAGTTTCATAATCTTAAGTATAATATATAATCTAGCAAAAACTTGTTGAGCTATCCAGCTAATAGCACATCAAATAAGAAGTGATTCATAAAAACCATTGAGCGGTTGAGTTAAGTTAACTTAAAACTCTGTTTTTAACAGAGTTAGAAAGAACTTGCCTATCTATCTTCCAAATGTTACTTGCTAATTTAAATAAAGGTTAATTGTTTATTTATTACAAAAACGTTTATTTAATTAATTCAAGTTTAGGATCTGAGTAAAACAATGAGGAATATTTAGTGCAACATTTCCCAGGAGCATATTTCCTCCGAAGACGACTGTTCTACCATTTCGACAATACCAATCCGCGTAATCTCCCAAAACAAGTCACCAATTAATAACTCACAAGCATTCTTTGAGTTGTCACTGACCGCAGATCAAAGTGGTAATGCCTCTTGCACGAGTAGCGTATGAATATTTTCAGTGTGTTTCTACACAACACTTTTGTTTATCTATCCCGTGCCACGCCCCGCGACCGCCCCTTTTCGTGGCGAGGAAAACACACAGTTTTCTGTTATGTTATTGGGAAATGACTGAAACATATGTGGCTGCCGTTGCTCGGCTAATTTGCACCACCGCCCCCCCAACATTTTGCCATTGAAAAATGACAAACAAACAGGGGCAAAATAGAAAAGAGGCATTAGGAAACGATGGGAAAGCAAGGCGAATTGGGAAAATATGTATGGGGAAAATGCCTTTTCACATATTTTTCATCAGCTCGTCGAGCACATCGATGTGCGAGGTCCTGACACTTGCGAATGAGTCAGCAGCTCGGCAATTCGGAGCGCAAGGAAAGGATCGAAGGCACATCGATTAGATGCCCAGTTGGCCAAAAAGAAACATAAGATACGCTAATACATGTATTCCCTATAGCTAAGAACTGCAGTGGGAATCTCTCACAATCGGGTGATGGATTCTATGATTTTATTGTTTCTGGGATCCTATCTTTTCATCTGGTTTCTAGTATCGTCGTAGCAGTGCCAATATTAATTTACTTATTAATTACGTGCCTCGCCGATTTCGATATGCCCGGGAAAACTGGCGGCTGATGCTCGGCAAATTTCCGCCATCTGTGGCAGCTTCCCGTCCCCTCGACCTTCAAGAGGAAGGGTGGGCTCTTAGCCAAGCTCGAGGCAATTATGTTTGCGGCTAATTTGTTGCGCGGCCGTGGAGGAAATGTAATTTATGCGGACATTGATGCATCGTCACGAGGCGTGAGCCGCAATTACGCGGAACGGACTGAAAGTATGCAACATCCTGGTGCGTTCTTCGCCAATTCTTCCCCCACTCTGCCCCCGCCCCACGGGTGCAAGGTCAGAAGGTTATCGAATTTGATAAGCTGCCGCACAGTTTTATTTCCGTGCGAGAAGTTTGCGACACAAGCTGCCTCGAAATAGTTGAGCTGCAGACAACGCGATGAGTAGATACCTTTTTCTAATTCTTGTCCTGGGAATCTCCTGCCTGGATATTCATCAGGCTCTCTCCCTTCCGAAGCAGGGACGTCAAAGATTCATCCGCAGACGCATATCCGCCGACGATCCCAACCTAGAGATTGTCGAGATCAAGGAAGTGTTCTATGTACGGCGGCCCAAGAAGGTGGTGACCCTACTCGATGATGACGAATTTGACTGGAGGATTCGCTGCGCTTTCGATCCAAGCCTCCCGGAGTGTAAGAACAACTTGCAGATCATTTTAGACAACATCAAGTCTTGCATTATGCCAATTCGTTCATAATACTAGATGTTACGCCAGGCTTTTGCGAGTATACCAAAAATAACATCGTGGTTTTCCTAATTTTAGGCAAGAATTTAAAGGAGGACCCCACCAGGCCATCCAGAACCACAACTACAACCACTCCGGCGCCCCCAACCACTACCACCACCACTCGTAGAACCACCACCACTATGGAACCTTCGGATGAGTCTTTGGAGCGTAAGATTCGCTGTGAATTCAATCCCACAGCAGAGGAGTGTAAGAATATTCTCTGGATACCTTCGATCTAAGATCTGCAAATTGGTGAATTGGTTGGTGAACTTTCAGGTGCACCATCATTCACTTCTAGAAGAACGACAACAACCACCACAACAACCACCACGGAAATACCTGAAACCATATACGACAATTATAGTGCAGTCGATTCCGAATCGGAAACAGAACCTGAAGCCACAGAAGATACCCAAACTCAGGAGGCCGAAGAGGAGGTCACAGAAGAATCAAGTCCAGATGATGAGATCGTATTGGAAGGGGACGATGAAGAGGATGGTGAGGATCAAGCGGATCAAGATGATCAAGAGGATCAAGAGGATCAAGAGGATCAAGAATATCAAGAGGAGGAGGGCCACTCAATTGGCGCTCATGATGACGGCTCCTGGAATTAGACCTAAATGATCGGGGAAATTGCAATTCGATTTGATCTTTTACCTTAATTGAACATCAATAAAATGGCAATTGCGGAACTACGAGATGTTCTTCCCATACATAAGTATCTTTTCGAGGGTTGACAAAGAAGTTATACAATTGTTTGGGCAATCCAGCAAGAATCTATAACTTTTTTAGGGACTCTCAGTACCTTTATCAGCTAATGTATCTCTCGCATATTGTCAAGAATCTTTTGGCCTCGCCAATTGTTATATAATTACTAGTAGCTCGTGCCATTGTGGGTCAATTCCAGATTAGTGCGTCTGAATCAAGTATAAACACCAATTGATCGCATCTCGTCTACTATGTATATACTATATACTATGTAGTCTATTTATATGACATATTTGTCACAGCTTCCGGCTTAACGAGGAAATAATCGTATTTACTTGGGAAATCGCAGCGATACAGGGATATATATTTGAAAGGGCAACATTATGTGGATGACCATCACGGATTCATTGGCCTGCAGCTGTATCTCCATACATATCATTGCGTATATGTATCTTTGTCGAGTTGTGCTTAAATCAGCGCACAATTGCGACGATTGTTGCCGTTCGCCAATTGAATTAAAGAAAATGCGAAGCAAGTGACACACAAAGGCGACGGCGATTCGAATAAAATGGGTGGAAATCGAGGCGCCCCAGGTCAGTCTAGTGTCAGTGGAGTCAACGTTCAGTCTGGTTTTTGTGGATAAAGCCAAAGGAACCGAATATATCGAGATGAATAGCCTGCAAGGATCGCTGGTCCTACTGCTGCTCGCCGGAGCTTTCCTTCAGGGTCAGGCAGGACTCTTTGATTGCGAGGACAAGATACCCGGACTTGGAGATGTGACCGATAAGATATCGGAGATTACGGGCAGCAGTAGCAGCTCGGAGCACGAGGTGCGCGATTTCTTCAAGAACGTGGGGTGCCACATCAAGGAGGGAGCCAAGAAGCTGGGCGAGAAGGCCAAGGACTTGGGCACGGAGCTCAAAGAGGGCGCCCAGAAGCTGGGCGAGAAGGCCAAGGTCCTGGGTAGCGATCTGAAGGATCGGTTCGACGACTTCCGCGACAAGTTGGCCAAGGATTCCGCCGAGGAGATGAGCAAGGATCGCGGCTTCCCGGCCAACGTGGAGATTATCAACCCGGACATCCTCAAGGGCGAGCAACAGTGTGGGCATGGACACATTCTGGATGCCTTGGGCAACTGCAGCAAGTTGAGGAAATAGTTTTGGGAGTTCTAACCCGTTCCCCTCCCGTTAACGTTTAAGTTTTTTTTATGATTTTTTTTTGTGTAAATAAAAAAGAAAAGTATAAATACAAATGCGGAAAAATCCTCTTTTCGTGGTATGTAATTTTGATGTATTTTGGAATTGATTACATTTTTTGATTTGGAATTGTATTACATTGAAAATCATCAAATTAGAATTGTTTAAAATTTGTTATGTCTGATCTTAAAAAAAAAACGAAACGAAATAATTTTCCTTAATATGTCAAAAATTAATAGGCATCGCTGGTATTTGGTTTTAGCCGTATAAATTTGTAGTCCAAAGTTGATGATGTTAAAAAAAAATGCGAAAATTGACCGAAAAATGAATTTCCCAAAATCCGCCAAAAAGTGACGGTGGTCGTTAGATTTGGTAATTATGATTAAAATGCCAATTTAAAATATTTCAATTTTTGCCAAAACTCGTTTTTTCAAATGTCGGTCATAAAATAATCAGTTTTTTTGCCATAACTTTTAAAATAATAGTCTGAACGCGGAATGTTATACGTCGTTGAGCTCGTAATTAAATTTCCAATCGAACTGTGTTCAAAAATGAGAATGCTAATTTTTTGCCATTTTTTTCAAATTTTGACTATGTTACCCCTTACAAAAAATGCAAAAATTTACCAAAAAATTAATTTTTTTAAATCCGTCAAAAAGTGACAGGGATGGTTAGATTTGGTAATTAGCTGCTCAAAACAGTTAACCTTTCATCTTTATGATCATTTTTGGCCAAGTTATGATTAAAATGCCCATTTAAAATTTTTCAATTTTTGTCGAAATCATTTTTTTCGAATTTCGGTCATAAAATAATCAGTTTTTTTGCCATAACTTTTAAAATAATAGTCTGAACGCGGAATGTTATACGTCGTTGAGCTCGTAATTAAATTTCCAATCGAACTGTGTTCAAAAATGAGAATGCTAATTTTTTGCCATTTTTTTCAAATTTTGACGATGTTACCCCTGAAAAAAAATGCAAAAATGTACCAAAAAATTAATTTTTTTAAATCCGTCAAAAAGTGACAGGGATGGTTAGATTTGGTAATTAGCTGCTCAAAACAGTTATCCTTTCATCTTTATGATCATTTTTGGCCAAGTTATGATTAAAATGCCCATTTAAAATTTTTCAATTTTTGCCAAAACTCGTTTTTTCAAATTTCGGTCATAAAATAATCAGTTTTTTTGCTATAACTTTTAAAATAATAGTCTGAAAACGGAATGTTATACGTCGTTGAGCTCGTAATTAAATTTCCAATCGAACTGTGTTCAAAAAGGGGAATGCCAATTTTTTGCCATTTTTTTCAAAATTTTGACGATGTTACCCCTGAAAAAAAATGCAAAAATTTACCAAAAAATTAATTTTTTTAAATCCGTCAAAAAGTGACAGGGATGGTTAGATTTGGTAATTAGCTGCTCAAAACAGTTATCCTTTCATCTTTATGATCATTTTTGGCCAAGTTATGATTAAAATGCCCATTTAAAATTTTTCAATTTTTGCCAAAACTCGTTTTTTTCAAATTTCGGTCATAAAATAATCAGTTTTTTTGCTATAACTTTTAAAATAATAGTCTGAAAACGGAATGTTATACGTCGTTGAGCTCGTAATTAAATTTCCAATCGAACTGTGTTCAAAAAGGGGAATGCTAATTTTTTGCCATTTTTTTCAAATTTTGACGATGTTACCCCTGAAAAAAAATGCAAAAATTTACCAAAAAATTAATTTTTTTAAATCCGTCAAAAAGTGACAGGGATGGTTAGATTTGGTAATTAGTTGCTCAAAACAGTTATCCTTTCATCTTTATGATCATTTTTGGCCAAGTTTTGATTAAAATGCCCATTTAAAATTTTTCAATTTTTGCCAAAACTTGTTTTTTCAAATTTCGGTCATAAAATAATCAGTTTTTTTGCTATAACTTTTAAAATAATAGTCTGAAAACGGAATGTTATACGTCGTTGAGCTCGTAATTAAATTTCCAATCGAACTGTGTTCAAAAAGGGGAATGCTAATTTTTTGCCATTTTTTTCAAATTTTGACGATGTTACCCCTGAAAAAAAATGCAAAAATTTACCAAAAAATTAATTTTTTTAAATCCGTCAAAAAGTGACAGGGATGGTTAGATTTGGTAATTAGCTGCTCAAAACAGTTATCCTTTCATCTTTATGATCATTTTTGGCCAAGTTTTGATTAAAATGCCCATTTAAAATTTTTCAATTTTTGCCAAAACTTGTTTTTTCAAATTTCGGTCATAAAATAATCAGTTTTTTTGCTATAACTTTTAAAATAATAGTCTGAAAACGGAATGTTATACGTCGTTGAGCTCGTAATTAAATTTCCAATCGAACTGTGTTCAAAAATGAGAATTCTAATTTTTGCCATTTTTTTCAAATTTTGACGATGTTACCCCTGAAAAAAAAATGAAAAAATTTACCAAAAAATTAATTTTTTTAAATCCGTCAAAAAGTGACAGGGATGGTTAGATTTGGTAATTAGCTGCTCAAAACAGTTATCCTTTCATCTTTATGATCATTTTTGGCCAAGTTATGATTAAAAAGCCCATTTAAAATTTTTCAATTTTTGCCAAAACTCATTTTTTCAAATTTCGGTCATAAAATAATCAGTTTTTTTGCTATAACTTTTAAAATAATAGTCTGAATCCGTCAAAAAGTGACAGGGATGGTTAGATTTGGTAATTAGCTGCTCAAAACAGTTATCCTTTCATCTTTATGATCATTTTTGGCCAAGTTTTGATTAAAATGCCCATTTAAAATTTTTCAATTTTTGCCAAAACTTGTTTTTTCAAATTTCGGTCATAAAATAATCAGTTTTTTTGCTATAACTTTTAAAATAATAGTCTGAAAACGGAATGTTATACGTCGTTGAGCTCGTAATTAAATTTCCAATCGAACTGTGTTCAAAAATGAGAATTCTAATTTTTTGCCATTTTTTTCAAATTTTGACGATGTTACCCCTGAAAAAAAATGAAAAAATTTACCAAAAAATTAATTTTTTTAAATCCGTCAAAAAGTGACAGGGATGGTTAGATTTGGTAATTAGCTGCTCAAAACAGTTATCCTTTCATCTTTATGATCATTTTTGGCCAAGTTATGATTAAAAAGCCCATTTAAAATTTTTCAATTTTTGCCAAAACTCATTTTTTCAAATTTCGGTCATAAAATAATCAGTTTTTTTGCTATAACTTTTAAAATAATAGTCTGAAAACGGAATGTTATACGTCGTTGAGCTCGTAATTAAATTTCCAATCGAACTGTGTTCAAAAAGGGGAATGCTAATTTTTTGCCATTTTTTTCAAATTTTGACGATGTTACCCCTGAAAAAAAATGCAAAAATTTACCAAAAAATTAATTTTTTTAAATCCGTCAAAAAGTGACAGGGATGGTTAGATTTGGTAATTAGCTGCTCAAAACAGTTATCCTTTCATCTTTATGATCATTTTTGGCCAAGTTATGATTAAAATGCCCATTTAAAATTTTTCAATTTTTGTCGAAATCATTTTTTTCGAATTTCGGTCATAAAATAATCAGTTTTTTTGCCATAACTTTTAAAATAATAGTCTGAACGCGGAATGTTATACGTCGTTGAGCTCGTAATTAAATTTCCAATCGAACTGTGTTCAAAAATGAGAATGCTAATTTTTTGCCATTTTTTTCAAATTTTGACTATGTTACCCCTTACAAAAAATGCAAAAATTTACCAAAAAATTAATTTTTTTAAATCCGTCAAAAAGTGACAGGGATGGTTAGATTTGGTAATTAGCTGCTCAAAACAGTTAACCTTTCATCTTTATGATCATTTTTGGCCAAGTTATGATTAAAATGCCCATTTAAAATTTTTCAATTTTTGTCGAAATCATTTTTTTCGAATTTCGGTCATAAAATAATCAGTTTTTTTGCCATAACTTTTAAAATAATAGTCTGAACGCGGAATGTTATACGTCGTTGAGCTCGTAATTAAATTTCCAATCGAACTGTGTTCAAAAATGAGAATGCTAATTTTTTGCCATTTTTTTCAAATTTTGACGATGTTACCCCTGAAAAAAAATGCAAAAATTTACCAAAAAATTAATTTTTTTAAATCCGTCAAAAAGTGACAGGGATGGTTAGATTTGGTAATTAGCTGCTCAAAACAGTTATCCTTTCATCTTTATGATCATTTTTGGCCAAGTTATGATTAAAATGCCCATTTAAAATTTTTCAATTTTTGTCGAAATCATTTTTTTCGAATTTCGGTCATAAAATAATCAGTTTTTTTGCCATAACTTTTAAAATAATAGTCTGAACGCGGAATGTTATACGTCGTTGAGCTCGTAATTAAATTTCCAATCGAACTGTGTTCAAAAATGAGAATGCTAATTTTTTGCCATTTTTTTCAAATTTTGACGATGTTACCCCTTACAAAAAATGCAAAAATTTACCAAAAAATTAATTTTTTTAAATCCGTCAAAAAGTGACAGGGATGGTTAGATTTGGTAATTAGCTGCTCAAAACAGTTATCCTTTCATCTTTATGATCATTTTTGGCCAAGTTATGATTAAAATGCCCATTTAAAATTTTTCAATTTTTGTCGAAATCATTTTTTTCGAATTTCGGTCATAAAATAATCAGTTTTTTTGCCATAACTTTTAAAATAATAGTCTGAACGCGGAATGTTATACGTCGTTGAGCTCGTAATTAAATTTCCAATCGAACTGTGTTCAAAAATGAGAATGCTAATTTTTTGCCATTTTTTTCAAATTTTGACGATGTTACCCCTGAAAAAAAATGCAAAAATTTACCAAAAAATTAATTTTTTTAAATCCGTCAAAAAGTGACAGGGATGGTTAGATTTGGTAATTAGCTGCTCAAAACAGTTATCCTTTCATCTTTATGATCATTTTTGGCCAAGTTATGATTAAAATGCCCATTTAAAATTTTTCAATTTTTGCCAAAACTCGTTTTTTCAAATTTCGGTCATAAAATAATCAGTTTTTTTGCTATAACTTTTAAAATAATAGTCTGAAAACGGAATGTTATACGTCGTTGAGCTCGTAATTAAATTTCCAATCGAACTGTGTTCAAAAAGGGGAATGCCAATTTTTTGCCATTTTTTTCAAATTTTGACGATGTTACCCCTGAAAAAAAATGCAAAAATTTACCAAAAAATTAATTTTTTTAAATCCGTCAAAAAGTGACAGGGATGGTTAGATTTGGTAATTAGCTGCTCAAAACAGTTATCCTTTCATCTTTATGATCATTTTTGGCCAAGTTATGATTAAAATGCCCATTTAAAATTTTTCAATTTTTGTCGAAATCATTTTTTTCGAATTTCGGTCATAAAATAATCAGTTTTTTTGCCATAACTTTTAAAATAATAGTCTGAACGCGGAATGTTATACGTCGTTGAGCTCGTAATTAAATTTCCAATCGAACTGTGTTCAAAAATGAGAATGCTAATTTTTTGCCATTTTTTTCAAATTTTGACGATGTTACCCCTTACAAAAAATGCAAAAATTTACCAAAAAATTAATTTTTTTAAATCCGTCAAAAAGTGACAGGGATGGTTAGATTTGGTAATTAGCTGCTCAAAACAGTTATCCTTTCATCTTTATGATCATTTTTGGCCAAGTTATGATTAAAATGCCCATTTAAAATTTTTCAATTTTTGTCGAAATCATTTTTTTCGAATTTCGGTCATAAAATAATCAGTTTTTTTGCCATAACTTTTAAAATAATAGTCTGAACGCGGAATGTTATACGTCGTTGAGCTCGTAATTAAATTTCCAATCGAACTGTGTTCAAAAATGAGAATGCTAATTTTTTGCCATTTTTTTCAAATTTTGACGATGTTACCCCTGAAAAAAAATGCAAAAATTTACCAAAAAATTAATTTTTTTAAATCCGTCAAAAAGTGACAGGGATGGTTAGATTTGGTAATTAGCTGCTCAAAACAATTATCCTTTCATCTTTATGATCATTTTTGGCCAAGTTATGATTAAAATGCCCATTTAAAATTTTTCAAATTTTGCCAAAATCCGATTATCCGATTTTCCGTTTTTTTGCCACAACTTTCAAAATAATTGTCTGAATATGGAATGTTGTACCTCGTTGAGTTCGTATTTAAATTTCCAATTTGAAAAAATGGGAATGCTAATTTTTTTTCAATTTTTTGAAAATTTACCCAAAACGTTATTTTCCTAAATGCGTCAAAAAGGTATATGGATGGTTAGTATTGGTAATCAGGAGTCAAAAATAGTAATTCAAAAAGCTGTGTGATTATTTTTAGCCAAGTTATACAAAAACTGTGTTTTTTTTATCGTATGTTGACGTGTAAGTTGAACTTGATGGATTAGTCACATTTAAAATTGCAATACGTACCCATAAATCTTTCTCTTTTCCCAATTGTTCTCTATTACATTCTGGAGAATTCTCAGTCTATCCGGTCCCTCTCGCCTTTCCATTTCCCCAGTCTCATTTTCTCCAGGCCTCTCTTTTCGCTCGCCGAAAATGCATTTCTGTTGCCCGACGACTTTCTCGCCGAGCTTCGCCGCTCGAAAACCCAAAGGCCCAGCCCAAAAGCCACAAGATACAAAAGAACTTGGTCAAGTGGCTACGACTGCGGCTGCAAACGGGTTTCAGTCGACTGTGGGGCCTCAGAGGCGATACACGATATTCGAGATTTGAGTTTCGAGATCCACAATTGCGATGACTAATTCATTGACCATCGCCGTGTTTTTGGCCAGCCTGTGCCTCTTCGCCAACTTTGGCCAAATGCAGGCAGCCTCCATTGTCTGCGGATCGGATGCAAAGTCTGCAGAGGATGCGGATTCGGTGACCACGCCCAGTCCCAGTGAGGTTAACAAGTTCGTCCACAGCCTGCAATGCACTCTGGAGAAGGCCAAGCCCTGGATAGCCAACATCGAGAAGGAGGCCAAGATATTGGAGGAGAAGGCCAGGGATGTCACCAGATCGCTCTTCCAGCGCATAAATATGTTGGTCAATGTGCTCGCCTCACCGGTTAACTCTGAAAAGGATAAGGAAAAGGACAAGGATGAGCAGAAGGAGCCGGAGGAGGTCACCACCACTACCACCGCTTCCACTTCCATTTCCACTTCGGAGGCTTCCAGCTCCTCCAAAACTGATTTTAAGGAGGAACTGACCACTTCTGCGCCCCCAGTTCACTTGGACTGGCTGGAGGATCATGCCAATGAGGTGGACTACATACCAGAGAAAAAATAAAGAAACACTTCGTTAAGCCATATGCTAATAAATATGTATACTAGATAATAAATTATTTTGCTCTCTATTCGATGAGCATATCCTATTTATTTAAGTGCAGCGTTTAATTTTATAGGGCATATAATATCAAATTGGCAAAGTGTGAATTCGTTAGGTGATTCGTTAGGTAAGTTCAAGTAAAATATTTATATTACCTCTAATACATCTTTTAGTTTACAGAATTTACTTGAAAGCCAATTGGAATTATTAATATCAAATGACAAGATCTAAAGGGTCAATGTGTTTGTAGTTCAAGTCCGGAGCTTAGTAATAAATTCTTGAATTTAGCATAACTGGAACCCAAAAACTTGTTGGAACTGCACAGCCAATTGGGCTTAAGTTCCTAATGAACAGCTTCCTCCACTTTGGTGACTCAGTTCACTTGTGATTCTTTCCCGACTTTCTCTTCTGGACTTTTCTTTCCACTGCGATTATTGGCCAAAAATATACAAACAGCCTGCTAACTGAAGCCCTGCAACTTCGGCATAACTTGTGAGCCGGTTTTGGTGTCAACGGATCAGTGAATCATCCAAGCGACAGGAGGCTCTTTGGCCCGATCTCACTGGATGGGCTTCAATTGCTAATTGCCAGTCGTCGGGAAAGATGCAGCTTCTGGGCACCTGCGGACTGCTAATAATCATCGTCATCACCTCCCTGTCATTGCCAATTATCCAGGGAATGGTCTGGTCGGGATTCATATGCTCTGCACGGGATCATCGCGGCTGCTGCTACAATTGGGCTTATCCCAGGCGAACAAAACCTCCATGTGCTCCCCAAATCAGTCGCAATTCGGGAGAATAAAGTGGGACACCGCAATGAGTAATTCGACCTGTCGAGGAAGGAAATAATATTTTTTCCTTACTTATCAAAATACAGAACAATGCACTTTAAACAGCACATGGAAAAAATATCACAAAGCAATACAGACTCACGGTGAAAATAACAGTCAGCTAGATTATAAGGATTTTTTTTGAAGTGTGAATAAAGAAATAATGATATATTGATTGCTGCAGATCTATATCAGAAATAAAATGACTGCTTTTCTTTCTCAAGCTACCTGTGTTATGGAAAAACAAATTGGGCTGAAAATACTACAAAATTGAGTGTTGGTTGACAACATTTGATAGTTTGAAATATAATAGCGCTTCCGTGGCTTCGCCAATTTGAGTGATTATCCATCAATTTCGCGTAATATTTGTTTAAACAATAAGTAAACATTTAATGGAGCGCACATGTGTAACACTTTTACTTGGAAAGCGAGAATGTAAGTGGATACATTTTTTCGTAATTTTGTGTGCAACACAGTTTTGAAGTTTAATTGAAAACAAGTTTCTTGAATTATATAAAAAAATTTAATTCTTAAACGTGAGATTCTTGGTCGATTACGACTATTTCATAATCATAGGTTTAAATATTCTAATGCATTGACAAAAATGTAATTAATTTCATCTAAATTAGAGAGCCCTGTCCATTTAGTTGAACTATCAATGTTGTAATGCCATCGTCCGCTGATCTATTCAGCGTCTCTCACAACCTATGCCTAGTTTCTCGCAGTGCACTGGAGCTTCCATTACGAAGAAGCTAGAGCAGTTCGCATTGAGTGTGCGCCAAACAACCGATCGCACGAACGCAACTAGTTTGGGCTTTAGATTTGAGCGGGGGGGGAGGGAGGGGGAGGGGAAGGGGTAACCGGTTGGCGGAGATTGGAGACCGCAGCTTTCGGATCGCAGACCGCCGTCTCGGAACGGACCGAGCAGTCAGTCGCGTTGTCAAGCTGAAAGCGTCGAGATGAAATCGCTCGTGGTGTGCTCTCTGATCGGATTGGTGCTGCTGATGGCAGCTGGCCCAGCTCGCGCCGAGTGCGACGAGGCCAAGAGTCCGGAGGACAGCGACTTCAAGCACTTCTTCAAGAGCCTGGGCTGCAAGGTGAACCAGGGGGCCAAGGAGGTGGCCGAGGCTGCCAAGCCGTACACCGACAAGATCGGGGAGGGCGCCAAGGAGTTTGGCAGCTCGGTGGCCCAGAAGTACGACGAACTGAAGCACAAGCTGACCGATGAGCCCTCGACCACGCCCAAGGTCCCAGTGGCCTATGACGCCCCCACCGAGAAGGTCCTTTTGGCCCCCATCGGAGGACCCAGCACCCCGATCCCATGAGGTCAGCCCACCCAAATTGAACCGATCCAAGATCCCTGTCCATCCACAGGCCGTTCATCCTATGGTTACGGGGATTTTGTAGTCGGCCTGCGTCTCGTTACATAAGATTTCTTTGTTTTTTTTCTTTGTGATCTAATTAATAAAACCAAAAGTGATGTTGAAATCGCGAGCTCTGTTTGCTGTGACTTCAAGTTTGGCTGATAAGCGGGGATCACAGATCGATGGTTATCAGTTGGGGGCTAATTATTTAAGACACACAAGAGAAACAACAAAATATTTGTATTAAGAAAATGCCCCCAATTTACTCATTCACTGCGCACTTTCAAGGAGAATAACAAAGTCGAATCACATATTGTTATATTACCAAATTAAATAGAAGGAACTACGTGCACCACTAATCTCTACTTCATAGGCATTCATTTTGTTCAGCAAACAGTCCAGCGTTTTAATGTTGAATTATTTGGAAAAAACCAGGCAACAAAAATGACACATTAAAGCAATAAAAACTGGAGGGCAAGACGCAAGTGATTTACATTTGAATCGCAATTATTGAAACTATTATCGCACTGTAAACAGTTCAGTTCCCAGAACTGAAGTCAAGCTGAGAAGCACTCGATTGCGATCATCAATGACCCTCTCACCTTTTATAAGCAGAGTGATCCATCAACCTTCATTCACCGCCGATCGAAATTATATAGCCGAGAAGCTGCTGATCAGCCACCATGACGGCAGTCCGTTTATTTTGCAGGCCTATAATTTTTGAGGGACTTATTCGAGTTGGCATCGGGGAAACCACGGAACACACTGTTAGCCCGTAAATTAATATATGTATTTGAAAGTGGTATGCTTTTGAGTTCGCATTCCCTTTTGTCCAAGAGAAACATCGGGAAAAAGGGAAGCGGTATGCAAATTTAAGATAACAAATGCGTCTTAGGCAATAATAAATATTTATTTATGATTATAGCTTTAAAAATTGCCCATAAATGTTAAGTTACAAAGCTACTATATTTGAGTTATTTTTAATTAGGCAAATTGTTAGGTTCGCCAAGACTTAAACTCAGGTACCTAAAATCAGTAATCAGCGATATTTCTGGGAAAATTCCCAGTTTGTAGCTGTGTGTAATGCGTTTTTATTGCCTCTAGACATTTGTCTTGCCACTCGCAACTTGTTTACATTTCGGTCAGCTTCTATGCGATCGACTTGCCTTCATTTAGCCAACTCATTTATTCACTTATGAGTGCGGATGTCACAATGTCAAGCGGCAAAAACGCGTACAGTTTTCAATGAAAGTCGCGACATTTCCAGCATGCCAAGTAGGATTTCCCGATCGATTGATCGAATTACAACCTGTTTTTGCCCCAATTGAGTGGTACTTACATATGGAACATTGATCGTACGTAAGTGGGCAGATTACTCATAGTGATTGAACTTTAGCACGCAGTTTGGAGTGAGGCTGTGCTGTTTGAGACTTTCGCAGTAGCTTGAACTCACCAGTTTTTGGCTACTGTGCACTGATGTTGGGCTGTTTGACTAATTGTTCTATTGTGCAAATTACTCATAATTGCACATGCGTCGGAGTGTCGAAACCCGAAACAATTAAGGCAATCAGCATACACAGGCAACTGACTCACATGTCACAATTAACAAATAAAAACTGCCAACGAAAATAAACACTTCACATAAATCAGATTATCACTTTGGTTTCTGAAAGCAGAGTTGAAATTGCAGCTGAATGTGGAGAGGATTTGTTTTCAACGGAACGAAGTGTCACTTGTTTGAGGGAAAATGGCCAGAACAATATTTTTATGGCAATTCACACACACACACCCACACAGAGTAATAAATTATTCACTTAAAGTTTGCCTCTGTACGCTCAAAAATGTTTATTTTACAGATTCAGCTAGTTTTTGGCCAGCAGATAGTCGGGGATATTTATTTTTAATATTCAAATGCTGAATAAAATATTTCTTATCGAAAATGTGACACAGAATGAAAATTGTAATTACATTTAAATACTAATATCCAAGAACAATGTTGCAAAGCTTTCACTCAAATTAATTCCATTTCTATGTCATTGAAAAACTTAAATGGAATCGTAATGCCACGAAGCAAAGTGCCCTTTATCCCATGATAATCAAATTGTGGTGTAAATATTAAAGTGTAGGGAAATCTGTTTATCTGCCAGATATTTCCCCCAGCAGCTGCAGCTGCAGCTGCAACTCAGCGCCACTTTCGATAAGTTTTCGGCTGCAAACATTCGCCTGGTATTTTTTGGCTTTTCCCTGCTTTTCCCCGGCAGAACTTTGCAGACAAGGCAGGTTGCTCATACGCACAGTTGCACCGCCAGGCTTTTGGAGCGGCTCGAGAGGGACTTTCGGGACTTTCGGGGACTTGGGGAACGACAGTCATTACCGCCAAAGTTTTGTCGGCCAACGTACTTTCGAGACAGCCATCTCATGGGCATCGAATTATGACACTTTTAGTGGTTTCTGCTAACTATGCTGCGGCCAAAGGAGCCAAACAGGACGAGGCGAAAGCAGATCCTGCCGAGGGCAGACAGAGACCCGAAAACTGTCTTTGTATTTTGGCAAGTTTTGCCTTTTGGATTTGTTTCCAACTTTACTTCGATTTCAGCCAACACAAACTTGCAACAATCGTAGGCGGGGAAGGGGCGAAGCGGAGTACAGGGCCCCCCTCAACTCATATTCACTGCAAGTTTCAGTCGAAATAAAATCTGAGAAATTCCAATAAAAAATATGTAATACAATGCCCCTTTTATTTCTACACTTATTTTAATACTGCTGCGCCCAAAATCACTTAAACACTATGGTTTGATTCTGTTTTGAAACACAATTGGCTGGTATATTTGTACGGTACAAGTCCTTAAGTTTATTTGCAAT